CAAACAAACAAACAAACAAACTTTTGGAATTGATAGATTGGAGCGAAGATAGTTAGTCAACAACGCTCACATATATCACTTGGGGTACTCTGATCGAATAGGAGAACGTGTGGTAAATGGTTGCGAACCTTGAACCCTCGGATTCATAGTACGAACATGCTAGGCCACGCTCGAATCGGTAAAAATTAGAATTTTAAAGGTTATTCAAGATTTACAAATTTGCAATTTTAACATGAGCGTTCTCTATTAGATCACTCGAGTCTTCTCTCCATGAAAGTACTATGTCACTGTTATATTTTCTTTTTATTCTTTCATGGCCGTTACTTTTATTACTTTTATAACGTTCTGTTCAACAAGATATGAGTGTTACTTTTATGTAAGTATTGACTTTTATCTCCCATCCCCATAGGTCAGACTAGCTGTTTACACTTAATCAGTTGATATGTTTATAAAAATACCTCAACTACATTATCTGGTACTCTACTTTAAGTGTCAAACTTTTATGCGCACGAGTTGAAAAAGTTTAAGTATCGCTAGCCTAGAAACCTGAATAACGTGAAAGTTAATAAAACTAGTTTCTTGTTTGTGAAATTCATCTATCATCTTAGACTATCAAAATGTCAGCTTTATATAATTAAATCCAATAGTTAATTGGCTACAATAAACCCGTGTGCAATCCATCTCTTTCTTGAGGATAATGGCAAACACTATGAAAGATAGATAGAGACAGAAACTGAAGGCAGAGTTGTTGTTTTTTTTAACCGCTGAACATAACATATATGATAAGATAATGCAGCTCTTAACAATAAGATAAAACACATATATAATATAACGTGACTATAACAATGAGATACAGCAGTATACGTAAAACATAATGTGGTTCTAACAATGAGATACGTATCTACAAATAGACATATACGTACAATCTCAGCGATTTTTAACAATAAATTAATTGATTATCCAGGCGAAACTAATTCATCAATTGACTTATTCTTAAAAATTTGTAACAAAAATACAGAACGTGTGAATTATACCGACCATAACATAAAAATGAGGAACTACAGAAAGATTATTTTCATTCTTTACCCAAGTAGGTATTTGTGAATGTTGTATATCTAAAAATACAGAACATGTGAATTATACCGACTATAACATAAAAATCAGCAACTACAGAAAGATTATTTTCATTCTTTACCCAAGTAGGTATTTGTGAATGTAATATATGTAAAAATACAGAACATGTGAATTATACCGACTATAACATAAAAATCAGCAACAACAGAAAGATTATTTTCATTCTTTACCTAAGTAGGTATTTGTGAATGTAATATATGTAAAAATACAGAACATGTGAATTATACCGACCATAACATAAAAATCAGCAACTACAGAAAGATTATTTTCATTCTTTACCCAAGTAGGTGTTTGTGAATGTAATATATGTAAAAATACAGAACATGTGAATTATACCGACCATAACATAAAAATCAGCAACTACAGAAAGATTATTTTCATTCTTTACCCAAGTAGGTGTTTGTGAATGTAATATATGTAAAAATACAGAACATGTGAATTATACCGACCATAACATAAAAATCAGTAACTATAGAATGATGACTGGACAAATTGGAAAAATATATATCATAATTTCATCATTTTTTAATACATGACGCCTTATTCCACATGATATATTTACAGGCCTAGTAACAAATGATTCAAAAAATGAAAACTATTTCAGTAAGTACATTTATTTATCAACTCTGGAATGGAATTTTATAATCTTAAATATGTGTTTTTTTAATATTAATCCACTTGAATTTAGTTATATAGGTGAATTTTCAACTGCACACATATTTTTACAGGTGCAGAATTTGTGATCAACTGCACACTAGGAAAACCTCTGCCCTGTAGGTATTTATGTCTACAGTACATATCAAAATATAGATCAAATGTTAAAATGGTCTGAAGATGTGTATATAAGTTAATACTTGACTAAATGTCATCGAAGTTCTGTAATTAACGAAGACAGATTGAATATACGAGATTCGTCACAGCTCGCTTCAAGGATCAAATTAATCCAAAATACAATCAAATCTGCAAAACTTCTAATTTCATGAATATTAAAAATTCATTATCAGATGATTTTAATTTTATGGACTTAAACTAAGCTAGCACCAATATTTCATATTATAATATTTTGCTATTTATAAATCTCGATGTTGACTTAGAATAATAACGATGAAATAAATGACATATGAAATAATAAATAAGTAGTGAAGTACTTTTTTGTCATTTATTTGTATTTAAAATGAAAATAAAGCTTGCCAATGTACTGTGTATGTTTAGGCGTGTATACTGTGTTGTGTTACGTAGCAGAGGATCAAAATAATGTCGCTATGGCGACCATTTGACTGTTGTCATTCACGCCAAATTAGGTGGTAGCTGCAAACTTCGAGTGCAAACCTTCACGCCGCTGACGTTCTCTACCACGTATATATATATATATATTCATCTTTGGCCCATTGACTTGAAATTGCTGGTTGACTGAGTAATTCCCTTTGTTTCGTTAACTATCCTTAGAAGCTCGAATCACTCTCCGCGTAGAAGTTTCTCAGGTCCATGCAATGGTTGCTGTTATTAACATACCAAATTGGTAGAAGTCTCTTAATATATTGTATATGAAAATCGATGCATGCAACCATTTTCGACTTCTGACTTCGCAGTTCCATGTTTTCATAACCATTTGGTCATCAGTTCCTACGATACGAGTCGTGGCGCCTTTAAGTTTAATAACTGTTAGAGGGCCGCATCAGAAATGGAGTACCTTAAAATATTTACTTGATGTAATAAACACGTGACTGAGAAAAAAATCAGATAATGTTAGCATGCATTTGTTCACTTA